GATGGTGCGGTTGCCTTAACCAAGGAACCAAGGGATTATGGCAGATCCAGGCACATCGACATGAAATATCACTTCATAAGACATCGGGTGGAAGAAGGACTCCTCTTGGTAAAGACGGTATCATCAGATGAGAACCCACCAGATCCCCTCACAAAGGACTGAGTAGGGTTAAGCATTTGCAGCATGCGAGGCGCATTGGGCTGAAGTATGATATTAATTTTAATGATTAGATAGCTATTTTGAAATCTGTAATAGATAAAATGTAATTGACATTTGATGATTAAATAAAATTTGTTTTTTATTTATAAGTAAGGTTACTGTCTTATGTCACTTGTTTACTATTGTTTCATTTTGCATGTTTTGACTTCCAGAATAATTATATTATTCAAACTATCCACAGTCGATCATACTTTGGAAGTAGGTATTGAGGCAAGAATGTCATGAATTAGGCTTGTAGATTGTCTGAAGTGTTTAGACATAGCAAGAGATTGCTACAACATTCATGAGTGCTTATAAGGTCTGAGTATTGGATTAAACCCACGCTCACTTGAATCACTTCATGGAATTTATCATGAGTGATCGTGATACGATAATATCATATAAGTCTTCAAACCAAGATATACGAGTTGTTGACTATGAGTTGGTTGTACATTGATAGTGCGAAAACGCATCAGTAACTTGATGTTATAAAACACACTGTTGCGTATGATTTGATGAATAGGTAGTACAAGCATATAATGTCGAAGTTTATCTGTTCCTTTTAATTCTTAGAGGATTAAAAGTAATATCTTGGGACCCTCGATGACTTTTTCTTGACTTATGTGTCAGGCCCGGTCGAGACTAAATTGATGTGTTCAATTAAGTTCCCTGTCAAACAAATCGGAAATCGAGAAACAAACTGTTGGACAATAAGTATGACAATGTTCCATGTATTTTTCCGGCTGATATCTTGAATAACAGAGGATTATATGATCCCTTATCTAAAGAACGCGTCACTGACTGGGTCAGAGTTCGACAACGGCTTTTAAGAGCTACGATTGCTAGTCGGTGTTTTAAGTCGTACTTGCAGTTATAGTTATTAGACTTATCCAAGTGGGAGACTGTTGGATTAGGTATCTAAGCCCATAACTATAATTGGTATGTACTTGACCCGAGAGTAGCATGGTCCTTTTGGGTTGCCTTCACCAATGCAACTTGATAGGATGGACTTTTAAGAATAAGGTTATTTGAAATTTGTTAATATATTACAAGTATAATATATTAGTATGAAATCATATTATTTAATTAGTATTGATCAAGAATTAATTTGGAATTAATTTAGTGATCAAAAGAGACTAATTAAATATACGGGGACTGATTTGGTAAATCAATGATTCTTATAGTGTGGGCCAATGATCCATGGTTATTTGGGTGGGCTAAACCAACATGGATAGTCCATGGAGGTTAACCCATGGAGCCTAAGTAAGATGAAGAGTCATGGTGCATTAGGGTTTGCATGGATGTAACCCTAGCACTTGCCACACTATAAATAGACACCCCCTAGAGCCAAAATCAGTTACACCTATCATTCTTAGAGTTTGATATTGATTTTGAGCTAAAGCAACTTATTCTTTTAAGCCTCATTTTGAACTTGGTGTTTGTGACACATTAGAGGCATCACACTTGAGGTGCTAAAGCTTTTGAAGGCCAAGAACTACAAGTCCTATTAAGAGGTAAATTATCTAACTAGTTATTTTTGTTCAAATGTATGCTAGTTAGGATGAATGCTTGGGAAAATCAAATTGCATGTATAATTAGAGAAAACATAGATCCAAAGCATCTAGGGTTGCATGTGCACCATAAGGTTGTTAGAGTGCTTAATACCCATCAAATACCACATAACACACAACCCCAGAATATCATGTGACATACATATAGTTTCCATGGGCTGCCCCCATGGTCTTTACCTGGAATGTCATGTACTCCCCCATAGTCTGATATCCAGGTGCCATTGGCTCCCCCATGGTCTTTACTTTGAATGCCATGGGCTTCCCCATGGTCTAATATCCAAGTGCCATTGGCCATCCCCATTGTCTTTACCTAGAATGCCATGGGCTCCCCCCATGGTCTGATATCCAAGTGCCATGGGCTACCCCCATTGTCTTTCATGCAGGTATCACAGAGACAACTAGCATTCCACATAACAAGTAATGTGCCGACATTGGTGCCTGTGACCCATGGATATAACGAGAAGACTCACTACCGCCTACTAGTCCTATCACAACATACAGTCTTGTCACCAGCTAACCTCCGTAGAATGCGTAACCCTAACACTACTAGAAAAACAGCCTTTTACGACGCGCAAATAATGACACACACTGATAGAGGACGCGCATTTGTGCGTGCCAAAAAAATTAATGTCAACCTTCCAAATTTTGAAGGATAGAGGACACGCATTTGTGCGTGCTCTAAAATTATTGTCCCACAAAAAAAAATTACAAACACGGAGGGCGCTTTTTTTAAATGTGCGTCCTATGTGAATGTTGCTTTATAATTTTTCTCAAAACGCGCGATCTCAAGAGGGGGAAATGAAATCCTCCTAAAATTCTAAATTTTTTAAATACACCGCTTCTTTCTCTTCTTCCTTTCTCTCTACAAACCCTAATCACGATACCTCGCCTCCCCTTGCCGGCAACATCAGGTCCGATGACCTTAGGCTTACTTCTTCTATTGCTCAAATTTACAAGCCATATCTTATTAAGGTGAATTTTAACCTTAATAATGGTAAAAGTCCAAAGCAGCCATACCCAAGTCCCAAAGGAGAGGTTCTACTTCTATCAACAATGGCGTTCTCCAACCCTCTCTTCTCATCACCACTCCCTCTTTCCCCACTCAGATCGAACCACGGCTAAAGTCCAATCCGTTTTCCTTATTCGGTTCAGGGTTCCTTGGCGCCATTAGTCGCAGCATCAACTTAGGTAACCATCTCCATCTCCATATACATCCGATTCCATCTGTTTCTTCGCTGAAAACCAAATCCACCATGTTTTTCGGCCTAACAGGTGGTCAAACAGCTCTAGCACTACGTCTACTATTAGCCACATTCTCTTCCAAGATTTCCTCAAACATCAATCGCCCTTTTGGTGATGAGGTATACAGTTTAGACAATAGATCGGTACAAGAACCATCTTCAAACTTTTCATGCTCTTAATTGACAAATTTTATGTTAGTTTCGCGCAGCAAGAAAAGCATCTGAAGAAATTAGGGCACAAGTTAGGAGATCGGCCTATTGAAATAATAGTATGTTTCTCTATCCATTTGATCTTTTACTTATTAATATACTGAAGGAGTTTAAAAAAGATGGTAAAGAGGTGCCTTTAGGAACAGTGTTGAAAATACTAAAAGCTAAAGGAGCACAGGAAAGAAAGGATGATGTTCAAAATGAATCTACACCAGCTGCTCATCAGGTTCAAGAGTATCACTGTCATATTCTTTAAACATATTGTTGTTCATCAGGTTCAACAGTGTTAATATTTCACACATTCTGGAGTATCACTTTCATATTCTTTAAACAAGTCACTGTTTATCAAATTCAAAGTGAATCCTTAACAACATTTTCAGGGAATTCCCTTGTATGGATGATAGTTCACAGCGTTGCTGGTAAGCATACATTGTTATTTGACTCAATTAGTTTGCATTAAATTCATTTTAATGTGTATTTTTTGTTTCAGCATTGACTTGGAGTTCACAGTGGCTAACAATCTAGTTGCTGTCAGCACTGGAACCTTGATGTATCAAATGAGAAGCAGTTAAATTAGCTTCTTTGCAAGGCCTAACCAATGGCTTTAATGGTTTTTTTTTGTGTAACTTGTTAGTTTTATTTGGTTTAAACATCTTTATAGACTCTTTTATCTGGAGGTAATTCTTGTGACTTTGTCATGTGGCAGTGGCTGGATGTAATCAACATTAATAATAGTGTTCACACATGCCTGTGAATTTTCCCAAACTCCTTTGGGATCTCACCAATGAAATGATTTGAAGACAGATCAAGTCTTTGTAGTTGAGTTAAATTTCCAAACTCTGGAGGAATAGAACCACTAATTTGATTGTTGTTCACCTTAAGATCAGTGAGAGACTTCAACTTCCCAAGTTCACTAGGAATAGGACCAACACTTCTGTCCCTGTTTCCATGTGGTGTCATGTCCATCTCCATCCATATATTTATAAAAATCTTTGAATGAAATTAAGTTAATTTTTTTATGATTTCAAGCTGGAATTGATTTCAAGCTGTTTGAGTCAAGCAAAACAGAACTTCTTTTAGCATATACCTGTTAGGAAATTAAGTTAATTTTTTTATGTTTTCAAATATTCAACATATAGATCCTGATGTAGAGGTGATTGCTCTATCTCCTACAACATTAATGGCTACAAACCGATTTGTATGTGAAATTTGCAACAAAGTGGTTTCAAAGAGACTAGAATTTGCAACTCCATAGAAGAGGACACAATTTGCCATGGAAGCTTAAACAGAGGGCAAACAAAGAGATTAGGAAAAAGAGTCTATGTATGTCCTGAGCCCTCATGTGTTCACCATGACCCTTCACGCGCTTTAGGAGATCTCACAGGGATCAAAAAACACTTATGTAGGAAACATGGTGAGAAGAAATGGAAATGTGATCAATGCTCAAAAAAATACGCAGTTCAATCCGATTGGAAAGCTCATCTCAAAATATGTGGAACCCGAGAATACAAATGTGATTGTGGGACTTTGTTTTCAAGGTTATATAATACTTCTTATATCATATATTTATAAAAAATCTTTCATTATTCTCTAAACAAAAGTTCAAGATTTCTTTTATTTATATGAAGGAGAGATAGCTTTATCACCCACAGAGCATTTTGTGATGCATTAGCAGTAGAGACTGCTAAAAGTCAACCTGAAGATGAAGACCCAAAACTGATATTATTTATTATTGATTATCAAGGCTAAATTTGCGGGGGACCTGCAGTCGGTATCATGGATGGCAATGGCTGTTGGGGGAATCTGTGGGAGTTTATTAGGAGGATACGCACTCACCAACTTTCAAATGGAAACCATTTTTCTTCTTTTTGCTGTTTTGCCAACTCTACAGCTTTTCTCATATGCTTTTGTGAAGAAGACTCCTGTCCCAAAACATTCCAGCTTTTCATTCAAACATTTTCAGCAATCAAGATCGTTCAAATCATTGATTTAATTAATGTGCTTAATATTTTTTTTTCCAATTCTTTAATCTTTTATGCGATGATGCTTTGCAGGAAGTTGGAGATATGGATAATGCATCACTAAGCAAGGGAAAGAAAGGTTTGTGGATTGTGATATGCATAGTATATAGTGTATACTTGTTTTATGTACTTTATTTTAGAGACATAGTAAAAGTCTATGTATCTAGAGTTGATAATTAATTGATATTTATGGCAGTTTCTGGTAGTAAAAGGAAGGCACAAAGCTTCAAGGATGAGGAGTTTTTTATAAGTTCGGAGCCAACAAATCAAGTAACTTTTCATTCCCCTTACTCTGGAACAATATAAGTTTTTTATAAGTTCAGTGCCAACAAAGTTAAAAACATAAACATTTTACACCATTTTAGTTTGTTTGTTTTAGATAAATCATGATTCATTATGTCTTTTGTTTATGACTAATTGATTATCAATTATTCAATCTCAACATAACGTTTATCTGCAGCTTGGAGCTAGAATATCACTACCTAGTTTAATTGCTGCAAAATAAAGTGCACATGTCATTCTTACTGGTGACTCAAACAAGCTAGAAGCATAAACAAGGCTTGTATAATGTACATTACTTGTAATCAATATGAATTTGTTTCTTACAAGTTTATAATAATCAATTTTTCAGGTTTTGGACAACATGAGAAGAGTATGTGAGCTTAATAACGTCTAGTGATGATAGTGATTCTGCCACCACTCGGAGCAGGTTGTTATTTGAGTACATAGAACAGAATCAGCCTTGGGACAGAGAACCTTTGACTGATAAGGTTAGCTTTTCTCCTGCTACAAATAAAAGCAAGAAAATGGGTTTTATTGTTTATTTAGAAATGATGCAATTATTATTTTGAGTATCATATGCCTTCAACTTCCATCTGAATTAGCATATGCACATTTGTATGAAAGCATCGGATCTGATGTTGTAAAGTGAGTACTTTTTTTTATACATGATCTTTAAAAAGAATATTTGTTAATATAATTATAAGTTTATAATAAATTGTTATATATTTCAGGTTTGGGTTGACTGCAGGATACCTGTTTGCTATCCAGTATTTTACACAAATTAGAGGGAAAGTGTCTGTGAAGTTAATTAAAGATGAAAAGAACAAGTGTACTGAATATAGAGCTAATAGTTTGGTCTATAAGGTCATTAGTATTAGTTAGCTTAATAAATTTAACTTTTGTATATATATAAATTTAATCTTTTAATCTTTGATAAATCATAATGAAGGTTTTTGGTCTCTACTTTATGCAATCATACATTGGAATACTTTACCATGCAATTCTACATCGAAACTTCATGACACTTAGACAAGTTATAATTCAACGTTTAATCATATCAGAGGTATTAAAATTATAAAAATGTGGTGACATTTTCTTAAAAGTATATAAATATTTTTTTAATTTTTAAAAAGTGTTTGATACAAAAATGTTCTCTAGGTGCTGGAGAATCTGATGGATAATTCTCTGCCTTATGTCAAATACAGTTATAGAAATACAGAGCTATTCGGCAAGTCTTATTTTTTTTAATTATTATATTGAGAGGCTAATAATTAATAAATGCTGACTCATCATTTGTGAAGTCACAAGAGAAAACGGGAGAAAGGGTATGCAGGTGGAAAACATATTTTCAATTCTAGGGTAGAAAAAGAGTACTTTAAGCCTGTATATGCTGCAAGTATTGGTGATGAACTTGAAGATGGGCTCTTTGATGGTAATATATAAATTATAAAACAAATTATTTATTCATTTTTTTTTCAAATTATAATATAAACTACACAAATATTGCACAGATTTTCTGGAGTTGGCTTTGCAATTTGGAATGATTATGATGTTTGCTTGTGCTTTTCCTCCTGCATTTCCCTTTGCTGCATTGGTAAATCAAACACCTTTTTTTTTTCTTTTTTTCTCCTTCTTCATTTATATTTTGAGCATGATTCTGGGATCACCAACACATTTATATCATCAATGCTATGTGCTTCACCTGATCTAATACTGCAGCATTTCCCGGAAGTTATATCTATTTCACAGAAACTAAGTGGAGTTCTTTTTTTCTATCTTATATTCTATCTGTTTTCTTGAAAGGAGTTTTTTCAATGATATCTGCAAGTAATGGCCTGAATTGTCATTTTCGGGATTAGAAAGGGCAGTTGATCGAGGAGAAAGGAAAGATCTTACATTAACAAAAGTCTTCTAACCCTTGGAACTGTAAGTATTTTTATTTATGCTTCTGTAATTGACCAATTTATTTATTTTTGTTTGGGAAATTTATTTCAACTGGATTTGCAGGTAATTCGGAAGCTTAGTGAGGGGAAGGCTTCTCATGTTCCATATAGAGATCCCAAGCTTACTCGCCTACTACAGTCCTCATTGAGTGGCCATGGACATGTTTCAGTAAATATAATCTATAAATAAAATCAGAATTAGTAACAAACATTTAATTAAATATATGCATTACACCTGATAAATCATTTTATTTTATTTTTTTTAAATCTTACCAGCATAATTTTAATGTCTCTTTCAGAATTTTTTTATTAAAAAAAAAAGTTTAATTTTCCAGATTATTGATGAGAAGTCTTTGATTAAGAAGTACCAAAGAGAAATATCAGTTCTCAAACAAGAGCTTGATCAGTTAAGACGTGGGATGCTTGTAGGTGTTAATCCTGAAGAGATAGTTACTTTAAAACAAAAGGTATTATTTTATTTTTTATTATTATTTATGCTTTGTGTTTATTAAAAAAATAAAACAACTTTAATGAGTAGAATTCAAAGGCTCACGAAACTAATACTTGTTTCTTCAAAAAAACACAATTCCTGGGTTAACTCATCAAAGGAGTTTCTCTCCCAATGAGGATGATGTAAGTTACATGACTTTTTCATTTTCAGTATTTTATATATCTATAGAACTCGAGATTAATGACTTTTTTTCAAAAAATTATCCTAACATTTCTTCTTATTACCATATTAAAAAAATATATTGAATCTATGTTGTTTTGGTTGTTAGGCCGAGAGAGAATTGCAGCCATGGTTTGCTAAAGAGGATTGTTAAGCTAATTGTTGAGCTAATGAGAAATCATAATACCCCTGAGTCATTGGTAATTATGACATGCTTGTTGACGGAGAAGCATGTACTCTACCACAACTCGAGGTATCATATATTTTAAAATTTAACTTCATTTCACATACTCTTTCATTGATTTGGTTGTTGTTTTAGCTTTTGGGAAGTAACTGCTAGAGCAGTTCATCCAGTGCTGGAATGGGGAGAATCTGGAATGACAGTTGCAGATGGACTCTCGAATCTTCTCAAGGTGAAAATCAGATTTTAATAATCTTGATTTCTGTTACATGAATATTTGATAGTAGGATACTTTGAAACCAAAGCCTTGGACTTCTTTTATAGACGGACATTCATTAAATAATGAATTTGATTGAATGTAACATTGTCGGTTGCCTGGTACCATTCGGTGCCTTTCTCACCCGAGTGCTCATGTACGTGCCCTTAGCACCTCGGTTCTTAGAGCCATTTTGCACACCGACTTGATCAACCCAAGTGGATTCACGAAAGGAACCAGTATGTGCTACTGAAAAAGGCTGAGTCACTCCATCTGTTCATTCACGAAAGGAATCGGTGACAAACCAATGATATGGAAGATTTTTTTTGACATGATATCTGAAACAAGAAGGTGCCCTTAATAGAAATGTAGTATTAGGTTATATAGTTAGGGAAAACCTCTTAATAACAATGTACAATTAGATACCTTAATACCGATGTATTACAATTTTTTAACATGATGTTATTGGATGAAATTGATTGTTTTGATATATATTTGTTTATATATTTTTGTATTATGCGTAAATGAGTATCGTAAAGGCACGTCGTATATGCATATCGTAAATGGTTGTTGAAGTTTATGACACGCAAATGTGTGTCATCTTCATTTATGACAGGGGCTTTAATGATACGCAATGCGTGTCCTAAACGCGCGTCGTAACATTACGACACGCAAATGCGTGTCGTCTTCCTTTATGACATGGTCTTCCTTGACACGCAATGCGTGTCGTAAATGCGCGTCGTAAATGCGTGTCGTAATTGCGCGTCGTAAATAGACGACGCGCAAAAGCATGTCGTCTCTCTTTATAACAGGGCCTTTCTTGACACGCATTTGCGCGTTGTCTGAGCGTTTTACGACACACATTGCACGTCGTAAAAGGCTGTTTTTCTAGTAGTGTAAGTAACCAGAGATGAGATAGTCACCCGTACAGATGGTCCTACCCTAGAACCACAACTAAACAAGGAACATGCAAGAGAGCCTAGACCAAGGGTTCTCAGGCTATCGTACATGACCACAAACAGTCCCTAATGGCACTCCAGAAATGATAACCAGCAAGCACAAACAACATACAGTTCTACAAATTACTACCACAAAGAAATATACTCAATACTAGGAGATAGATTAAACAAATCACTACAGCATAGCAACATACTCGATACTAGCACACAGATCTAACTATCACTACAACATAAACGCATACTGAATACCAGAACACATATCTAAAAAATCACTACAACATAGAAGCATACTCAATATCAACAATCATAGGAATGCATGGCCGTATACACTCAGAGCTGAGATAGTCACCTGGACAGATGATCCCACTCTAAAACCACAACCAAAGGAGGAACACGTAAGAGAGCTTGGATCAAGAGTCCTCAGTCTATTCTACATGACTATATACAGTCCCTAAGGTATCCCTCTACTAATAGATAACCACACTAGTGGGCCGACATTGGTGCCTTCGACCCACGGGTACAATGAGGCGAAACTCAACTCGATATGCGTGTAGATAACCACTGTAGAAACGAAGAACTCTACTAGTTCAACTCACTTCCAATCACCTACAGGAAGATACTTGAGTCAATACCCGATCACAGGTTATAGTCACTTGCAACAGTGACAACCTCACATGAAATGACGATGAGGGTTTCATATAAAATGACGAGTAGGGTTAAGTAAGAACACTTAACCCATTAAGAACTTAATCACTTAAGGGTATGACTGATTAAAGTTTGACTTAGTCATTCTCAGGTGAAATAATAATCCAATCAACAGCCTGAATACGCGCCCAGTCATTGTCCAAATAGAGCTCTCCGATTCTAGTTTTCACATAAAATGATAACTAGGGTCAGCATTCCACACTTAACCCCTTAAGGACTTAATCCATTAATTCCAAGATTGCATTAAGTTAATTGTATAGAATTATTAAGTATTATTTTATGTTTATTTAATAGTTTTAACACGGGTCCCGACCAACTCCACAACTAGGGTTTCTTGAAATTAGGGTTTTCTAAACCCTAATTAGGGTTTCCAACTCCTAACGTGGGCAGTGGTGGTCGGAGGCGGTCCATGGCGACAGGAGGCGGCAACCACCATTTCAAGGGCGGGAGTTATAATTTTAGGTCCAAACACCATCCAAAGCCTCTCGGTTTAAACGTAACGTTAATACAACACCCACACATGCACACAATCACCCGAAGTGGCAGCTGGAGGTGGTAGAACAGCGACAAAAGGTGGCAGCCACCACCTCACGGTGGTGGTGACAGGTTTTCTTTGATTTTTCCAGCCACGAACATTCATACAACATCTCCTCTAAAATACAACGCACACACACAACCACCCACACACTGTGGCTGGTGGTGGCAGAAAAAGCATTAAGGGCGGAAACCACCATGGTTGGCTGCCATGGTGGTCCTCCTCACTAACCCGACCAATAAAACTCCCACATACACGCATACATAACGTTACAACAATAACACACACACCCAATTTGTGAAACACGAACACAGACACCCTTTCACGGTGGCATGTGGCGGACAGAGCAATTGGCAGAAATACACAACAGACGCTCGGAGCGGCAGTGGCGGAAACGACGTGATAACAGAAAGTGATGGAGAAGACAAAAGGTTGACGACCCATACCGGAAACAGCAGCAACGACAACCACATATTCGTTTCTTTCGATCGTCCACTGCCACGACGTCGAATTGCAACCTTCGTATTCAACGGCAATGGGTGCAGCGGTGCTGGTTCGGTGGTGCAAGGCAGGGACGAGGAAGTTGGAGGCGGCCGAAGTTATGGAGTGATAAGGGTGGAGGCGGCTGGGTAGCGATTAGGGTTAGGGTTTGGTCCTTTTTCGAGTGTATATGAGATGAGGGGAAGGAAGGGGACGACGAGTTTAAGTCTCCATCTCCAAACTCAACTTGTGTCCCATTTTACACTTTCGGCCCCCCTCTCCCTCAATTCTTTTCAATTCGAGTCCAATATTTACTCTCTAGCCCCCTGATTCCAAAAATCTTTTCAACACAAGACCAAAAATTACCAATCAGCCCACGACATCTAAAAGTCTATTCATAACTAGTCCGAGTTACATTTTAAGCCCTAATTTCTAGAATTTATAATATTTAACTCCTTGCACTAATACTCTAATAATTTATTATGGATTTTGGGCCAACATAAAATATAAAAATATAAAAAAAAATACGTCTCGGGGTTTTATGGCTTATTATCTATTTATTCATTTATTTTCTTATTTACTTATTTTACTTTATTTTAGACGGAATGTTACATGATTTAGAAACGTTGAGACAGTTCTTAGATCTAGTATGGATAGGTGGGAAGGTAGTATGGGCCCGTACTATCAGAAGTATAGGATCTATACAGGGATTAGGAGGAATCGCAAGGTTACTAAGGAATGGGAAAGGGTTGAGTGTTATCTCTAGATAACTCGAACAAATTCATATTAAACCACTCCCGTTTCTCATCATCAGCATGGTGATGATCACAAGAGAAAGCGGTTCTGGTTCTGGATCGGAAGGGTCAGGACCAAGCGAGGCGGACATACGTGATTGGATAGAGACGACGATCGCAACACCTATAAGAGAGATGATCCCAAAAATGTTCGAAACTATCAAAACCAAATTAACCGCTCTGTTTGACGAGGGGTATGTTGTCGTTGCCATTACGGTTGTTGTCGCTGCCACTGCTGTTGTTGCTACTGCAGCCTCGTCTGGAGATATGGACATGCATTATCAAGAGTTCAATAACACCAAGCCCCCAAAGTTCGATGGTATAAGAGACCCAATTGCTACCATGAGATGGATCTCTGATATAGAAGGATGCTTTTACACTTGCTCTTGCCCGGATAACCTGAAGTTTAGGTATGTGCAAAATCTCCTCTATCATGGGGCGAAGGATTCGTGGAACTTTATCACAAAGGATTATTCACCAGCAGAGAAAAGCGCAGTACCTGGGAGAAATTTGTTGAGAAGTTCAGAGAGTAGTATGTTTCATTGGTTGAAAGGGAGCGACTAGCCCAAGAATACTTGTCGCTTAAACAGACAACTAAATCGGTGACATAGATCACCAAGATGTTCACAGAGAGGGACTTATTCTTCCAAGAATATTCCTCCTCAGAATAGGTACAAATATCTCGATACCTGAGCATACTCAAGACCGATATTAGAGAGTTTGTATCGAGCAATCGATACAAAAACTTAGCATAAATGAAGGATTATGCTAGGAGAAGAGAAATAGAGTTGGAGATCTATAAAAAGGAGAAGAGGCAGACTCCGACTCCATCACAACCGGCAGCCAAGAAGTTCAAATCTACTGCTTCAAGGCTTGGAGATCAGAAAGGACGCACTTGTAATAAGTGTGGGAAGTTTCACAATTGTCCTTGTAGAATAGGATCAAGATGCCACAAGTGTGGCAAGGAAGGTCACTATGTCATGGATTGCAAGCAAAGCATGTGTGTCTACTTCAACTGTAACTAGCTCCGACACTTCAAGGCTGAATCACATCTCCTAAAATAGACGGGAGCAATGTAGGCTCCAGCTCCTGCGACCCTGAGGATAAGTGATGGATGTCAGCAGAGAGCTGAAACCCCCAGGGATATGGGGCGATCCTTTCATCTCACAACAGAGGAAGATAAAGAGTCGCCTGATGTCGTAGCCAGTACATTTCTAGTCAGCTACATGCCTGCTTTAGTATTATTTGATTCTGGAGCTAGCCATTCTTTCGTATCACTTAGGTTTAGAAAAATCTTTAATCAAACCATAGGAAATTTAGATCATCCCCTAAGAGTAGAAATAGTTGAAGATCGAACGATTAATACATCGAAATTTTACGTAGTTGTACCTTAGAAATCAGTAATGCTAGTTTTCCAATAAACCTTTTTCCCATTCCTATGCGAGAGATGAGCATAATAGTAGGCATGGATTGGATGAACGAGTTTGATGCGCTAATCGAATGTAAGTAAAAGATAGTATG